AAGTGGCATACTTTAGGGGCAATTATGGGCAGGGATGGAGTACAGCTGTAGCAGAGGCAGTTACAAGAATATGATCTGCCCTAGCCTAATTGGTGCAATAAATAATACTAAGAGTTTCAACAAGGTATCACAAAGAGGCAGCACCATTTTGGGGCTGTGACATTCCTCGGAATGCTGGCAAGTATGCTACATTACCTCTTGAAACTTCGCATTCTGCCTCTGCACATTCTGCAGAACATCTTCTATTACATTAGCCTCTTAAAAGATGTGAATATGGGAATGTGAGTGTGTAGGTCTGCTGCAAAGAAAGAGTTGCAGCTTTTCTCATGAATGGTTTGAAAACCCTTTCCATTATCTCTGCTGCTGACAATTGATCTATACAATGGATCTGGGTAGAGACAAGAGTTGGTAAAGGTGGAATGAAGACAGAAGCATTTTTGTCACACAAATTCTTGATGTCATAAAGATTGGAAAGTCATTAATAAGCTAAGCCTCTTTACCACCTAGATCCATTTCAGTGGCAATATATTAATGCAACTTCTACAGGAGTAGTTTAACCAGATTTCCTACAGACTCCTAACTCAGGTTTGCTGCTGATCCTCTTCCTTTGCCCAGGACTGGGTAGATTGAAGTTAATTCACACAAAATTATCTTTGCTACATTAATGAAACTTAAAAATATTTATCACCTATTACCTAAAGAACAATATCTAAATATCAGCGTGAAAAGTACAAGGAATTTATGTAGACTTGGCAGAAGTTTCTGCATAAACGCACAAAAAGCACATGTTTTGGGAAAGAAAAAACTATTCTGGGATAATGTAAAAGGCAATTAATTGAATAGCTAAGTTCTTATAAGAAATAAGCATGGTAACAGAGCAATTCTGCACACCATGGTATAACAACTGTGTTGTGAAATGGGGAGAGATTGAAAAACCCACTCTGGAACAGAAATCATGCTTGTGGAAAGACCCTATTTTCAGAAGAACCTTTTTTTTACTGATAGGAGCTAAATTACAGTGTTTGGGTGGTATCTGAATCTTGGACTCATCTGATCCAAAGCTCTTCCTCTAATCAAAGGAAGTATTTTTCTGCCTGTTGGAATCATTCACCTTTAAAATGGTTCATTAGAGCAAAAATGTGTGCAATAGGGAAACCACTTCCTCTTGGTTGCATTTGAGGTAACAGGGCTTTGGAAGTGAGGAATCGTGTACTATTTAATTCCCTCCCCACTTCTTTAAAAAATGATGGTTCTCTAATACATTCTTCTGCATCAAATCTTGAAAATAGGATGTTCTAACTTCTATTACAGTTCTTCAGTGAAAGAATTGTTCTAATGTAATCAGATGTTTTTACTCTGAATCTTGAAAGCAAAGTACAAACTCTGCAAGACATTTCTGCTTTCAAGGGGAGGAAGAATGAATCCTTGTGGTCTTCCCCCCCCCCCCCTGGCATGGCATGACTATAGATAAGTAATATACTACAAAGAATGATTCATTTCTAAACATGGAGAAAAAAAAGATTTTTGAGGAAGAAGACTTGGTGAACAAATGATGAATTCCATTTCCATATCCAAACTTAGCTTCACAACAGCTATACTGTGTGCCTTGTGGTGGGGTTTATAGACTATAGCCTACCTGGTTGTTCTGCATTGTTGCTTTCTTATCTATGTTAGCCTTTCAGTCTACAACATAAAGAAAATTTATGATCCTAAATGAACATGAGACATTGAACAGGTGCCTGAAAAATTGAGAAGCACAGAATACACAAACACACACACTGAAATCTACCTTGAACAGAACCAGCCTTAAGCTATTCTATTTGATTAGTATTTTGCCTTACCTTCTTGACCATGTGAGAGGTTTAGAGGAGGTGTTGTCACCATTTTTGTATCTCCCATCTTCACAAAGGGCAATCATGAAAAATAGCTTATATGGTTGTTTCCAAGGCCTGTCTACATAAGAGTATCTCCAATCACTCCAACAAAACAGTCTAGGAGAAATAGCCACGGTTGGGTTCTAGGTAAGTTATCATGAAATGATACAAGGTACAGGTTTGCTAGGATTCTTCTGACGGCAATTGATCTGTACACTAGAAATGTTCCGTCCTCCAGTTGTAAGAAATGAGCAAAAATTTGGTAAGAGAACAGATCCATGTGGCTAAAGTTTAGTAATAGTGAATCACTTCCAGCAAAAATAGGCAAATTTCTTGTATTTCTTTGCCATGTACCGAAAGTATTTCTATCTTGTTTCCCTGGAGGTTATTTTCTTGGAATATTTTATACCAGTTTGTAATTCCATAATTTTCACTGTTTTTTCTGCTGAAAAACTCTGCTGTATTACTTCTCTAAGAGTCCCTTACACCAAATAAGTGTATTTTGCATTAGCATTCCTCAATATTGCCTCCCTGCTTCAATGACACTCCAGTGTTCAGATACAGAAAGTGGCATAGTAAACACAGGATCTTATGAAAGAGCACTGGCAAAGTAATGCTTCTGCTCAGGATGCCTCTTCTTTAGTGCTAATGGGCTCTTGGTGCTTGCCAAACTTCCTTCTCTGCCTGTTTTTTCCTCCCAATTTTAAAAATGAAATCCTGATATGCCGTTAAACAAAACATCAGTCTCAAGTACAATCTAGATTTCCAATAGTGCCTCTTGGCCTCATGTAGACTTCAGAATCCACAGGGGCTATAAGGTTATACAATACTTACAAAGTGATTTGCTTTGTCAAGATTTTAATGGGAAAAGTCTTTTGAAGCTTCATTCGGTAATAACAGACTCAATGCACAGCATGAATACAGTAACAACCTTAGTAAAGCCAGTTGAGATCATATCTGGACTCTTCATCTAGTCAGAACAACAAAGCTCCATGAGATGCTTCACCAACTCGAGGTAGAGGGACAGACCTCCATCAAGCAAGACTCTGAGAGACATTCTGGATTATCTGCCTGTACTTTGTTTGGAAGAATGCCTACCTGATCAAAATCAAAGGAGAAAAATAAGCTGAAGTAGTGAGAATGAAGGAACTTCAGTTTAGCTCCCTAGGAAGTGGGTATTTTGTGACTTTCCAGATTTACTACAGTGGACATTTTTAGAGTGTCTATAACATGACTGTAAATTTCAAAAATGCCTACTGACCTCAAAAAGTTTTGAGATACTTTGCATAATGGGAGTACATCAATGTAGCTTGAATTGACTTCATGCCATATTGTGGAAGCTAATTGGTTTGATTTCACATTAAGGATGTAATAGAGAAACAATATTTGTGAAAAGTAAAAAAAATCCATGTGCTGGATGACAAAAGTGCATACTAGGTGCTTGTGTAATTTCATGTTTCCTTATAAAGGAACATTCATGCATAAACACAATTACTCCTTTTAATAGAAAACTTGTGTGTGCCAATACAATTATGGCCAAAACAGAGCTATTAAAAAATAAGAGGGAGCTTGGCATGCTTATGATTTTCAAATTCCTTTGTCAAAGTTTCCTACAGGCAACCATTTCAATATGCCATGAAGACTAAGCATCATTAAACTGAACATTGGCTGAAAAAATAAATGGAACGAGGTGAAACTCCTAGAGGAAGAAGTGGCCACCTAGAAGCCTGAACAGAAGCATTCCAGTTGGGTGGAGAAAATATAGATGGGGCCTGGCAACAGTTTTGTTGCAAACAGACCAATTAAAGCCTGTAAGATTTAAATTTGAGAATTCCAATAGCAAGTATAGTAGTCCACCATCCATCTAGATAATTCTATTGTCAATCTGCTCTTCTAGATTCAATGATCTTTAATATTTGCCCAACATTTATTCTTCTGTCAAGAACTTTAATTTGGTCCCCTGGGGATTACAAAGATAAAAATTAGGGTTATGCATGTTTCAAAGATGATTTGGAAAAAATACTTAAAACCTTACATAAGCATAGCATCTCTGTTACCCATTAAAGAGACCAATGCAATGTGGTTCCTTCAACCTTTCTTTATAGAATATTTTTTTATACAGTATCTTTATTCATTCTTGTGACCCTCTTAGCTAATTTCTCTTTGTCAACATATTTAAGTGTGATCTCCAGAAAAGGACACAGTGCTTTGGAATAAAATGGAACTATGGCAACTTGTTACTTGGAGACTATGCTTCTATTAATTCAGTCTGAGAATTACATTAGGTGTTTTTGTTTCATTTTCTTTTTTAGCAATTGCTGACTTCAGCTTGTGATCAGTAAAGCTCACCCTACTGTTCAGCATAGTCTAAACTCTCTAGACAACAGAAATTATAACTGAGGACCATCTTAAACATGGATATTTATAAATTGGCCGCTAGTGTGGATTAACATTTGACTCATCATTGAATAAACAACCTCAACACGCTTTTTCAGCAGAGATCAACACCTCTTTTAATTTTTTTATTCCTCTGTTAAAATAATAGCATTCTACTTAATCTGTTGAGCTGTCCATCAACATACTGCAAGAAATGCTAATTTAGCCCACTTATGCCCTATACAAATAAGATTGTCAACCAGTTCAAAAAGACCCATGTTCCATTAACCCATCCAAATCCAACAAAGAATGCAGTTTGTTATCTGGCCAATGTCTT